TCTAAATTAATTTTAGAACTAATTTAGAGAGCAAAATAAAAGTTTAAACAAGTCTAACTTAATAAAATTTTCAAAGTGCAAATAACCAAAATCATTTCAAGAACCATTCTTAATTAAATTGGTTTAGCTTGGTGCAACATAAAATTGAGGCAATTTCTCACTTTCAATTTAATCAATTTAAATTAAACTTGAGAATTTGACAAAGTAAAGGGAAGTTGGAAAAAATATGAACTTTAATGTTCAAATGAAAATTCCAACATCTAAATTTTGTGAATCCTTGAAAATTATATCTTCCAACATGAAGATAACCAAATTTCTATCACAAAAATCGAAACTTTATGTTTCCAATCAACTCAAAATGATTAAAACATCAAAGTTTAACACAAAATAACATGGAATTTAGTGGTTTTTAAAGTTTCAATCACTTATCACAAATAAAGATTGAATCTTTAACACTTAGGAAGCCTCAAAAATAAAACTTTCACACTAAAAAGCAATTAGTTTGCAATTATGTGAAAATAAATCAACCTTTAAGCATCAAATACTACCAAGTAAGTGTGCTTTAAGGGGACATAAAAATGCAGAAAATAATGCAAATAATCAACCATATAATCAACAATTTATGCCATAAATTTCAAGGTTAGAAAAGACTTAAAAATTTTCGTCAAAAACGAAAAACCCCTCGAAAAAGGCATTTCTGGTCAGAATTTGGCTAAAATCACAGTCCCCTTTGGGATAAAAACCTTTCCAGAACACGTTTTCCACCCAAAATTCACTAGTAAAGAGCGAAAATCTGGGTTCTGGGCCAAAATCGACATTAAAACGGGATTAAAATAAATAAAACCGAGCTACTAATCTAATTAGCAACTTAAACCAGAAAATTAAGCCAAAATAAACCTTGAAAAACATGATTATAAAAATAAACGAGTGGGGCTCCGATACCGCTGTTGGGGTTCGGTGAGTCCGACTCACCGCGGAAACAAACCCCTACCCGAGGAACCACTCGCAATAATTAAAATCATAAAGCATAAATAAATAATCACAAAGAAAAGATTACGAATCTTACCCTCGAAGCGAGCTTCGCCCAATAACCGGGGCTCTTACTTGAAAGCTACGAGCACGTCAAGCGCCGCGCCTCCGACGGTATCCACTCACAAAAAGGCGAACACAACTTTAAGGTCTACTACTTGGGGGTTAGCGAGGTCCGACCAAAACCCGAGTGTTATATGAGTTTAAGAGTTTTCCCAAAATTGTGGAATGCTCTTTTTAACTCCCACTCAAGTAAAGAATTCTCAAGCCATGCCATGACTATTTATAAGGAAGTATGCCTTGTGAATTTCACTCATCTTTCAATGTGGGACTTTTCACAAAAAGATCCCACATGGAAAGATTGGTGAATTCAACCCTTAGTTAAATAAACAAAGGAACAAGTGACAAGTGTCACATGGTTAGGTGTGGACCACTTTCTCACTTGGTCCCCAAGGCATTTCACATGCAATGTGAACTAACCATGTGTCACCCAACCTTGAGCCCCAAGTTGGGTTCGGTTGGCCCATTTTATTTTGGCCCGTGTCCATGACCCATCAACCCCGGTCCACGGCCATAGCCACATGTGTCGCCACCATGGCGCGCCGCCACCATGGCGCTGCCACTAGGTGGCTGCCACTTGGCAGCTGCCGTCGTGGCGGCCACGTGTGCTGCCACGTGTGCTACCACATGGCGTTTTGCCATGTGTGCTTCCACGTGGCATGCTCCTATTGGGCATGTATTCTTAGCCTTTTGCGTGGCTAGGATTTTACTTGTTACTTGATGCATTTTCCCGTCTCGCCAAATCCTAAATTTTGGCTCGACATTTGAGATTCTCCGACGCTCGGTTTCGACGCTCCAAGCTCGAATTTCCGACGTCTAAATGTTTAACACTCGGGCGACGAATTAATTTCTTCCGAATTAATTCGTCGAGTTGGTTCGTATATTTTGCTTGGGTGTGACCCGAAGGGTTCAGTCAAGATTAAGTTGTAATATTAATTATATTAATATTATTGATCGGAAGCGGCCTCCACCCAGGCATTCCGATCACTTGACCTTACTGAATATATTAGCTTTCTAATAATTCTGAACCCGCTATCAGAATAATACACTTGTTTGAAGGACACCATTCCTTTCAATCCAAACCGAACCGATTTTCAAATGTATAAACCGAATCCAATCCATACACCGAAATTTTTACTTGTTTTTTTAGATCTGCGATACTGTTAAGCAAAATTTATAATTGTAATGACAAACAAATAAGATCTAATTCAGCCTTTAGATCCATCTTCAAATTACCCAAAATAATAGAATTAAATAAATTTACATTCATTAAAAGCATATGAATATACCGTGAAAGAAAAAAAATGAAACCAAGAAATTACATAAACTATTTGTGATATTACTTGTTGTCATTCACCTCTAGCTTGCATTTACATCATCTATGGTGTGAAAACCAAATTCATAGATCAAATTACATTGAAGAAAAGCAGAGGAGAACAAGCGATTAAAGGTCGAAATATTGACAGGGTAAAGTCGTATCCCCAAATCAAAAGTAATACCTAAATCCTCTAACTAATGTAGATAGGGAAGTAGGGTCGAATCCACAGAGAAACGAGTCTTTCTATTCCTAATTAACTAATATAATCTAGATTATTAGGTAACCAATATATAAGTTGAATATGAAACTAAACTACGAAGGTTAAGAATAGGGAGAAAACAATATATAAAAGGATCTAGGGCATAGGTTCACCAATAAATAATATTCCAGGGTAAAATATAATAATCATTCATCAATGCATACATTAATCAGATTATAAAGGGCTTTCGCTACGTATTATAATCACACAATTAATTTACCGGTATTAAATCTCATCTTTCGAATCTCGACCTAACCATTTATAAATTAACCTCCCTATTGAAACTAGACCTAAACATCAATTCTCATCTGTCGAATCTCGAATTAATATTGTCAAACTCATGCATAAAAGATCAGGCCTAATCTAGTCACATAGCATTAAATCAATCAATAGGAAATTAATCTAGCATTGACAATTAACAAAAATAAATTACCCTTTCATATTATTTATGGATCCCCATAAACCCTAGAAATAAAACTACTCACACATAATAGAAACTAAACTAATCAAAGCAATAAAGCAAGACATGATCAAAGGAGTAAAATAAACAACTAAGATTAAAAGAAGAGAAATAGTTACCAAAAGAAATCTGGATTAATGAAAAGTAATTAAGAACAAAGTTGAGAGAGAAATAAAGAGAGAGGAAATATCCTAAGTAGAGAGAGAAAAGTCTAAGAAAGAAGGTAATAAAAAATTACGTACATAATTCGTATTTAAACCCTCCTAAAACAAAAACTAAAACAAAACTAATCAGCTCTAAAAAAACACGCGCCCGATCGGGCGAAGGGCCGCCCGATTGGGCGCAGGGCCGCCCGATTGGGCCCGCCTTTTTGCCCTGCCTTTTCTTGGCACGCTGTGCCCGATCGAGCCTACGCTCACCCGATCGGGCGCGCTGCTCCCTTGAGGCTGTTGTTGCGCGCATCCGCCCGATCGAGCGTATTCTTGCCCGATCGGGCCCGGCTTCCTCTTCGAGACTTGGATTTCGATTGGGCTCGATTCCTCGGCCCAATCCGGATTTCCTCATTGGGTCTTGATTAATCGATCCAATAGCCCCGGTATCACATATCGAGCCCTTAATTACTAGCTCTCACCGATCCTGGGCTTTAAGAATGGTGGTGTCCATCTAGCTTCCGTAGTTGATCCATGAAAACCCGGGAAAATGCTCCAAAAGTGCAATTTCCTGTAAAACTCAACTAAAACTACGAAAACACTAGAAAACACAAATTAGTAATAAAAGTGGCCCTAAAGAGCAAAAAACACTACTAATAATGACCACGGGACGGGGGTAAAACACTATATAAATTAGACATATCAAATATTTAATATTTGAGCGATGAGAGAGGATGAGATGAGATAAGAAATAACACATATGAGAAAAGATTGTAAGAAGACGGATGTAAGAGAAAGGGCACGCATTTAGATACTTAGGGTTTCTGAGGGAGTAGTGGAGTACTAAGGAATTAAAGGTGGTGGTGGGATACGGAGACGGTTGCCATAGTGAGGTAAGGAGTTAGGTGATGACTGATGAGGGAGAATAAGGGTTTTGGTGAGGAACTAAGGAAAGAAGGTGGAGATGTTGGGCGCAAGTCAGATTAGATGAAGGAGGAATATTAGGGTTTTGCTATGTATAAGTAGCAGAATTAGGCTGGAAATCTATGGGCTTAAACATTTCGGTTTGGATTTCGGTTTTCGGTTTTTTTGGACCCAAAACCAAATCCAAACCGAAATAATTCGATTTCAGTTTTTTGGAACCGAATCCAAATCGAAAACCGAAAAAACCGAACCGAATTTCTAATTCGGTTCGGTTAGGATCGGTTTTTGTCCATACTACTTTCACCCCTACCCAGGAGAGCCGGTTCTTTATTATACCGGTGCAGAGTCCGGTTGTGTTTCGGTGTGGGCGAGAAGATCAAATAAAATTTCTCCTTCCACCTGGACCATTTGGACACCCTGTCCAAAGTCATTTGGTATTGGGGCAAGGTGGTGAGAGTATACCACGCCCCATGACTGCCTGGGGCCTTTCTTAGATAATGCATATAAGCGAAGGCAGAAAAGTTGCGGTCTATATTCTGGAGCTCGCAGCACTACGTGAAAAAATTAATTTGGCTCCGGTTCAAACCCGACCTAAGGCATCAGTTTGAACCGGTGCCAATGTGGGGGGGTGCCAAAAAGTGGTTTAAAAAGGCACCGGTTCAAACCGGTGCCAAAACTTGAAATTGGCACCGGTTAACCGGTGCCAAAAATGGGTTAAAAAAATTATGAAATTATTTTTGGCACTGGTTAACCAGTGCCAAAAGTGCCAAAAAATTATATATATATATATATATATATATATTTAGAACATCAAACAATTAAAAATCGACTTAAATTATTTAGAACATCAAAATATAGATCGAATTTCAATCAACATAATCAAAAATTTACAATATATAATCAAAATAATTTTACAATATAGATCAATACAGTAGTAGTTCAATTACAACATATAAAAAAAATTACAATATAAATAAAAAAAATAAACTCAATATTCATGCAACTTGATTCTTCCATTTAAGATCTAACTCAAGATACCTGCACCAATTAAAGCAAAAAAAAACGATTAATATAATTAATCTTCGAAGAAAACCAACTAATATTCAAACCCAGAAAAAAAAATTTAATCGCAAAAAAATTAAACAGAAAAAAATTAAATCGAAAAATACCCAGAAATCGAAAAACCCAGAAATGGAAATAAATTGAAATAAAAAAAAATTGAAATCGAAAAAACCCAGATAAAAAATAAAAATTAAAAAAACCCAGAAATCGAAAAACAAAAAATAAAAATCAAAAACAAAATATATTAAAATCGAATAAACAAAAAAAATCGAAAAAAAAATCAAAATCAAACATAAGAAAAAATATAATCCAGAAATCGAAAAATAAAAAATCAAAATCGAAAACAAAATATACTAAAATCGAATAAACAAATATCGAAAAAAAATCAAAATTGAAATCGGAAAAAATATAACCAAAAAATCGAAAAACAAATTGTATTAAAATCAAATAAACAAGAAACAAAAATCAGAAAAAAAAAAAATCAAAATTGAATTCGGAAACAAAATAACCCAGAAATCGAAAACAAAAAAATCGAAATTGCTATCGAAATAAAAACCCAGAAATCGAAAATCAAATAAAAATCGAAAAAAATAAATCTATTATAATCGAGTTAAAAAAACCAGAAATCGAAAAAAAATCAAGAAATTATACCCTAACCTTGCTCATGCATGTGTTCGTGGTGGATTAAACCAAAATTTTTTTGATGAAACCCATAAAAAATTAAAGAGAAGAGATGGTGGCGGCGGCTTTGCGGTGTTGTTGTTGTTGTTGTTGCGGTGGTGGTGTTGTTGTTGTTGCGGAGATGCTCGAAGAGAAAGAGAAGAGATTGGGAATGAAGGAGAGCTAGAGGAGAGAGAAGGGAGAGCAGAGGAGAAGGGAGAGCAGAGGAGAAAGAAGAGGCGGAGTGATTAAGGGTTATAAGTAATAAGTAAATAATGGTCGGTTTTTTTAAAAAAATAATTAAAGGCCCGGTTCACAAACGCACCGGTTCAAACCGGTGGCCTTTATGATTTTGGCATCGGTTTGAAGTGAACCGGTGCCTTTTACTCTAGTTCAGCTTCCCACCAATTTTGTAGTCCATTTTTGGCACCGGTTTGGACTGAATCGGTACCAATTAGGGGGTGCCTTTTTGATATTTTCTACTAGTGCAGGCGGCAATATAACTCAATATATTCACCCACAAGTTTGGAGTGAGCTACCAGACGCCTAGATCGTATCCCTTGAGGATTTTCCTTATTCATGTATGGAGGGGGAACCGGAGGCCGGCTTCTATTACCGCCTCGAAGCAAACAAAGTTGTTGTCTACATTTTCAATGTTATTCTCCCAGGCCATGACAACATCCTCAGGCGGAACAATAATGTCCCACCCCTTTCCAAAGGGGTGTTTTTCCTTGAAGGCCTTGAAGCCGCTCTTCAATAAGGCTATATCACCCGGAAGCATCCTTATCTTCTTCGGGTCAGGGTTAGCAGAGGTCTTAGCTGGCTGCTGGTAGTCAGCCGCAAAATCATCTTGATCGAAGACAGATGCTTCGACCCCCGATCTTTCGGCGGCAACGTCGCCGCCTGCCTCCTCCCCTGATCCATGAGAGGAGGCGGCCTCTTCACTGCCTACCTCCCTCACGCTTAAACTATCTGAGGATGAGGGAGCCTCATCATCGGAACCATTCCTCTCCTCTAATTCCTCTTGTTCCCCATCCGGAACAACCTCATCCGCGGCACTTCCCTAGCGCGCCGGCTTCTTGGCTTAATAGTCGTTTGTTTAACTGTAGCCATTGTGTACTGCACAGACACGGAGAGGGAGGAATTCGGGGATGAGCACAGCAGTTCCGACAATCCAGAAAAGGCACCCCTGTTCTAGATTCAACCATACCGGGAGACCGGCTGAATGTCCTAGGCAGTGCCGAGTGTGTGGATTGAGAGTTCATTTTTATTTTAAAGACTATGTATACATATGAAAAAGAAGAAAAGGTTGAAAGAGGGTACATGAGGTTACCTTACATTGATTCTGCCATTATTGGTCGGGTTGAGTATTTAATCTTGGAGTGCTTAAATCCATATTTCCATTTCATAAACCAACCCAATTCCTAGCCCATTTCTCCAAACCATAACTTATTTTTCTCTTTTCATGGCTTATTTTTTTTATCCAAATTTTATATGGTTGGATAGCCCTTGAAATTATCTATTCCAATGATATATTATAATATCAATTCCAAGCTATAACGGAAAAGATATGAATAAAATGTCAAACTCTATCAAAAACTGACACCGTCTCCCTATTTCGGCTATAACTTTTGTTACACAAAATATTTTAATCTGATTTTAATTGAGTTAGAAATTAGACTTGAAGAGCTTTTCAACGATATCTTATTTATCTTATTCCAATTTCTGGATCAAAAGATATGATAAAAACAAAAACCGCAAAAACTGTTGTCTATCGCAAGGATTTTATCCGATTCGAATTCTTATCTTTTCTTGATTCGACCCCTCTTTTTTCCTTATAAATAGAGGTCATATCTCGCCTTTTTCAATATTCAACAAGATTGATCACAAATAATTCTCTTCTCCTTTTCAGCCTAAACACTAGCCTCCCCATTCTTTCACTATTTCTTCCTTTAAGCACTCCAAGGAGTCCATACAATACCTGAAGTTCTATACTTTAACCAAGGTGTGATAGGTAGAATTAACTGAGGGTTTGGACCAAATCAACTCTACTTTTAATTTAATTTAATTTTCAATTTGATTTATATTTTTATTGAAGTTACTAACAATTTATTCATGATGTAGCAATTTAAAGGAACGCGCGGAATATAATGTGAGTAATTAATTAATTTAATTACTCTAATTTTAATATTTCTAGCATCATGATTAGGTTATTATTATTTTTTGATTTGACAAACGTTATTATTGTTGAATTGCTTCCAATATTAATGTTTATTTTATTATTTTTATTGATCACCATATTGCATGTTTAAAGGGAATGTGTAATTGAAAATCACTCCTAATAAGATAATTTGGACAACCGGTTTAGGTTCCCTTTTAATCTTGTTATTAAATCAAGTGATCACAATATTTTAGAATTATATGTTGCATTAATATTAAACCAATTTAGCATAATAATAGTTTGGAGCAAATTGAATCTTTGTTTGTATGCCTTTGAGATCACAGGAATCATTTTTCACTATAAGAATCGAGTAGAGGCCAATCAGGCGAATGTGACTCCATGACTCACTTCGTACCATCATCCCCGATCCTCCTTTTGTGGTTCCGAACCATATGGAGTTAGTAATCTCATGGATTATGAATGGGGTGTAACCTTCACGGGTCAATCGTTGTTGCCTTCGTTGTCCCTTTATCGTTGTTGCCTTTTATGATCCGTGAACGGTTTACAAGTTCCTTAAAAACTTGTTGGCGACTCCCTTCTTTCCTTGTCCCTAGTCGTATTATGTCAATTCCCACTTCCTATGGGTTCCAAGCATATTCACACATGCTTTTACATAGGCGCACTTCGAGCGACACCTACAATTTGGCGACTCCACTGGGGAGGATTCTTGGTTATTTATCGATTTGAGTGATCGGTATTTAATTATTATGAGTGGATGAGACTTGAAAGATTCTTGAATTGTATTCCTGCGATTTAATTGGCATTGTTACATATTCATATACTTTTTAGGTTACCTATTTTGCCACAATAGTACGTGTTCTATGTATGTGGCTAGCGCGGGGGATTTATGCTCTATCAACACGAAAACGTTCATGACAATAAGGGTTCATCCGAGTTTTTAAATCCACCCAAACCATGGAGTCGAGTTCGATTTCATCACGAACTCACGGAGCCGCCCGTTGGCATATACCCTCAAGGGAGGTTGCCTTGCTAACGCGTCCAAACTCTTATCCATGGTACCCTTTGACACCCAAAAGCTTGACCATAGTCGAACATAAAACTTAACTTTAGGTTGCGAACTTCATTGCATCATGCGTGACGAATGCTTATGTGTGCATTTTTTTTATTGACCTTTTTTTTAATTATTTTTTTCTCTTATCAAACCCTTTTTTTTATTATTATAGTCGAGCCATAGATTTTTTTTTTTTGAGTCACCCGGATTTTTATTCTTGTATACTGCACAAGAGTCAACTTGTTTTGGTCATAGCCGGAGTTCTAGAAAGAGTTACGTGTCGAGCCTGTAGCCCCAAGTTTTATCTTTCATTTAGAATTGGTTTCGTCCCAATCAGAGTCACAGATCAAAAGTTATAACCGTTATACTACGACCTGTCCAGTTTAGGTGTCTTTTTAGCGTCAACTTTTTTTTTTAATATATCTTTTCCTGTCAAGCTAGTCTTATCCAAGTCCTTTAATCTGTATCAACTCGTATAACATAGAATTATAGATTTTTTTTTTCATTTTTTTTAATACCCTTGAGTCCTAACTCTTCTATAATTCTAGTCCTCTTCCTACTGCTAACCTTAACATGTGTTCTTTGTCTTTGATTGTGGTTGATCTTATTTATGACTAATGATTGCCAATGGACCATATTCACCTAGTAAATAGCATAAACATTAAAATTGGACAAAATTAATCAAGTTAGTTTGTCTTTTAGTCTTCTATGCTATTTGGTCATTGGGTCCTTTGTTTTTCACAACGTCCTCATGTCTAGCCATGCGATCATACCACGAGTCTTAATAAACTCACCTAATCACACATGTTGAGTCGTTTCACACACTTTGTCTTCGAGTAATGCACTATATTGTTTATGATCGTATATTAGGACCATGCATGCGTCGTTTTCTGTCGTAATAGGAATGAGAGGGGTATTTCCCATAAGTTTTCAAAATTGTTTCATACACTCTTCCTTTCCAATCCGAGTATTGAGTTAATGCATTAGATGAGTTCGTCCTTACACAGTACTTAAGTCCAAAATCAATAGGCAATAGTTGGAAGAATAACGGGAACGTCACTCCTTCCTTCTTTCCTTCCAATCAAAGCATCAACAACAAGAAACTTTTTTCCTCAATAGAGGGCAAGAAATAACTCATAAACAGTCACGAAGACAAAGCACGATGCAAGCTTCACACCAAGATTTCATGTTTTCTTCTTCTTTTGTTTCAAACCCTTCCCCCTAAAAAGTCTAGCATAGGTTCTCCTTACCCATGTGTCTATGTGTCACATTTCTTACCTTCTTCATAAATGAGCATCTCTTTCTTACGTTCGATCATGTGATTAGCAAAAAAAAAAAAAAAAAAAAATTGCCGAACTAAACACAAGGTACACCAATGACTTGAGGCACCTTTGCAACCCATTCATTCCCCATTAACCATTCAATCACATATCCATTTTTTCATCAACCACTTTGAGCCTCGTCTAACGTTTGGCCTTCATTTTTTCAACCCATATTCACTCAACCCTGGAATTGGAAGATATGCAATTTGTGTAACATTCAAAAAGCAAGTAAAAAAAAATAAGCAAAGCAAAAATAAAACAATGTCTAAGGGCAAGTGTTCCAATGTCTTTTATACGAACACGTCTCGAATTGCGTCTCTCATCGAGTGCTTGGTACCGTGCCTGAGAAACATGAATGCTAAGTGAGTGATGGACCGCATGATCTGAGATTGCCTACTGTAGGGAATAAATTCAAGCGTTAACCCCTAGCTTGAACCCCACTATGATCATACACTAAAGTACAGTGGCGTCCAAAAGGGAAGAAGATAGAGCAAAAGAGTCACCAACAAGTTTTAGGAACTTGTAAACCGTTCACAGGGTGAAGGTTACACCCCTTAACGATCCATGAGATCGTCAACTCCATAAGGTCTAAAACCAAATAAGGGTTCAGGG